AGGTCTCCCGTCAGAATCGTCAAATCCTTTGATGAGTACCTGTCGACGAATGATTGCAGCTTTTCGTAGAATTGATGTTCATCGTCGTCATTGTAGTCATTGGTAGGCGCATAGCATTGGATGATGTTCATTGTAATGTCCTCTTTCTTTGTTTTGTAGGACACTTTAATGATCCTGGGTCCATGAGATTCCCATCCTATTAGTGCCTCTTGGACTAGGATTTATCTTCTTTTAATCAAATAAATATTCATAACAAGGGCAGTTATTCCTCGTACTTCTTGTTACTGAAACGTATCGGACTTATTTGGGAGCGCTTCCAACGTATTCTGAATCAAATATCTATAGTTCATCCATAGATCATGTGTTTACGACCTTTTGCATGTAGGAACAGGTACATAACTAATCAACATGGACAGTTTTGTTTTGTCTACTTTAGGACAATAGAACAAGAACCAATCAAATGGCCAATTTTCTACCTCCGAATAGCTTCATACGTAGGGAAATAACCAGCATCGTAGTTGTACATTTTCTATACGTACCTTGTCCATAATATTCATGTTTGAGAAGAAAAGTGAGCAATATTCAAGTGAGGGCCTTATACACATTTTGAAGAGTGTAAGCTTAGCCTCACTTGTCAAGATGTTCTTATTTATAAATCCAATTAGTCGTCTGGACTTAGAGATAATAGTTGAGGCATGTTCTTCGAAATTTAGGCTTCTGGAGTGACGAGTACCCAGATCATGCGCTGATATGTGTCTGAATCCTACATTTTTGTAAGTAGAGTGGTATATCATGGTGATGTTTACTAAAATGCACGATGCCACATTTGTTATGGTTAAACGGCAGCTGCTACGTTTCGCTCCAGGTGGTTAAGTTATCAAGTTCACTCTGAATCCTATCTATATTTTCGTCCAAATCTTCAAGCTTATAGCTGTATACTATTTTCAGATCATCAACATATAAGTATGCTCTTCCAAATCTTATAGTATTACATATATCGTTTACGTACATTAGAAACAAGAGTGCACCTGGTACACTTCCCTGGATAACTCCACTGGTTATTGGTCTTGGTGATGAAAGGCAGTCGTTGTACCTAACTATTTGTACGTGCCCATTCAGAAATGAAGCGAACCATGAATGTAGTGGGTTACTGATGACTTCAGTTTAAGGAGAAGCTTGTTGTGTGGGACCCTATCAAAAGACTTCTTAAAGTTGCAACCCAGTCTTAAAGTAACATTTTGCGATTCGAGGGGGGAAACCGCATCCCGGACATGCTTGCATTGTTGCTTAGGGTGGTCAGAAGACTCTGCATTTTGTCAGCATATTCACCAACTAGGATTATGTCATCGGCATACTCTAAGTCAATAAGCGAGCCACCTGGTAAAAGGTCTACTCCCGAAAATTCAGACGAGGATAAGGTTATATCTAGGTGGAGCATGTCTATGACCAAATTGAATAAGAATGGAGAAAGTGGACATCCCTGACGGACACCACTTGAAGTGAGGAATTCCGGTGACAGTTCGCCATAAGCTCTCACTCGACCAGTGGTGTTCGAGTAGAGGTTAACGTACTTCTTTGGTACACCTTTCAATGATAGACACTGCCACAGAACCTCGCGATCTACAGAGTCGAATGCCGCTTTTAGGTCCAGGAAAACAACTATTGTAGGACACCTAAATGTGTGTCTGTGTTCCAGGACCTGTCGTAGTATGGATATGTGGTCTATACAACCACGTCCAGGTCGAAAACCAGATTGGTTTTCTCGAGTCTGCTTTCGTTAAGCGCCGAAGTATTATTGAGGCCAAAATTTTAGATACTGTATTAGTTAGACTGATTCCCCTGTGATTGTCACAAGAAGACCTGTGTCCTTTCTTATAGATTGGGACAATCAGTGATTTAGACCACTCGGATGGGATTGTGTCCAGTTCCCAGATTCTACCTAAGATATTCATGAAGTAGAATCTAGTGAAATAGACTTAAAAAGAAAAAGATAGGTGGTGCGGAATTTGGAAGGTTAGGACTTGACAGAACACAAAGAATGAATACACCTGCGCCATTGCAAACCGTTTTGAGCCATGTTGTTCAAGGTCTCTAACCATCGATTATTATCATCTCGCGGACCCCAACCAGGTAGTCGACACCTACCAACATGACTCAATCCAGTTGTCAGTGACTTCATGAATTGGCGCCATAATTCGGTCTGGTCACCCCTAGCTATCTTCCAACTTATTCTTACACCACAAAACACAGCTCAAGGAGGCGGTCGGTGGTTAGGCATACGCAACACTTGTCACAACCACCTCAACTGGTGAGGTTTCACGACTTCATCTATTGACCTGCCATCCTTACCTAGTACCCGTTTCCTAACAACTGCATTGCTTACTCGGTTGTCCCAGGATACACGAGCAATGCTTCAGAGACAGACACCTATGATCGAAAAGTAGTAACCTAGGCATATCTCCTACTCTGACTGGCCATGTTTCACAGCCATAAAGTAGGACAAAGCGAACTACTGCTCAGTGCACTCGTCCTTTAGTAAGCAAACGGATATCTCGCCTACGCCATAAGTGACGCAGGTTGGTAAAAGCCAATCGAGGTTTCTGTATTCGTGCTGAGATTTCGTCAGTCACCCGGCCACCGGCACTGATGATACTCTCGAGATAAGTGGAACGGTCAACACGTTCTGCTACATCACTCCCTACCACTAGTTCAAGTGTCGATGTTGTCCTATTTGGTACAAGTTTTGAACATCAAAAGCTCCAATATGTAATTAAGTACAGGATTTCAGGAGACCAGGATTAATGTTCCGTGAGCCCGAACCGTTTGCTTCAACGGCGCGATGTGGCAAACGGTCGAAAGAAGGGTTGGTCGAGGAGATAAGCGAGTTATTAAGAGGTGTAGAAAGGATTTGATTTTGACCAATTCTGTCTCGCATGCTGTTAAGGGTATGATGGTGGTTGTCACTTACCGGCTGCTCACACCGTGGAAGGGTGTTTCTTGAGGGACCTGAAAAGGAAGATAGATTAGTACTGGTCTTGGAGACCAGGGAGCGTGACCGCGGAGCCCAAGGGACAACTGCTTGAGGCCGGTTACGCATGGCCTTTTTATGAAAGGTTTTTTGAGTATTAGCTCCGCTCTTTTAAAGCCCTTATTTGGAACCCACACCGCCGGAGACGGAAATCCGTGAGGTAGGGTGAGGTGTGACATTTTTAGGGTCGACATTTTCTAACCCTTTCTTCCTTGTGATAAGGCAGCGTCGCTGCAGATGCTTGTTGTCCGAGGGAAACACGGTACTGGTGTCAAACTCCTCTGCAGTCAGCAGTACGACTTTGTCCTCATGTAGTGAATGAGAACACAGGTGGGGCAACCGAATTGTATTTAGCGAAAATTACAGAGTTACTCAGTAAAATCGGAAAACCATATCGTATATCGTTCATTTGCAAAAGATCAGTTCATCCTATGGAACTGGACTGTTCCTGTTGCAAAACATCACTCCATTGTCACTATTCATGCGTTTCATACAAATTCCATTGTTTTCTAACTCTTCCTTTCTTGAACTTCACCCCATATTATGCTACCAGACTTTACGTTGACACTCACGTTATATACTACTTATAAGTAGTTCGCACCACAGCACCACACTCGTCCCCCCTTTTAATAAGCTGTCGTCGTAGTCCTTCAAAACAGAGCCCCTGGTCAGTTAATATCACCTTCCGTATTCCGTGACACGCTACAATATGCCGGATTACCACTTCGGTCATCGTTCTTGATCACTGGTCTGGAATGGATACGGCATCTATCCAACGTGTAGCGTTTACAAGTTCCCGATGCTGGAACACGGCGGCAGGCACACACTCGATAAATTGCGACGCCAAAGACTGTGCCCCGCTCACTCCTCACGGCGCAATCCGGTGAGCTCCACAGCAAGCACCAACAGGTCACCATCGGCCGACAGCCGCGCCAACCGGAACCTCTGCGGCGCCTCCTCCCTGTCCGCTGGGCTGTCGAACTCCATTATCAGCCGCCCGGTGACCGTCTCCGACGCCGTCTCCTCGGTGGCACCGTCCAGGCTGTTGTGTACCGCCTTCGCTTCAACCCCCCCCGCAGCGTCCCCAGCACCGTCAACTCCGCCCCAGGCCCCCACCAGCTCCACCGTGGCCCCAAACTCCTCCAGGAAGCTCCGCCAATCTCCGTCCTGCAACTCCTTCGGCCACGGGAGCCCCTTCCTTCGAGCAGGCAGCGACACCAAATGTAGTGAATGAGAACACAGGTGGGGCAACCGAATTGTATTTAGCGAAAATTACAGAGTTACTCAGTAAAATCGGAAAACCATATCGTATATCGTTCATTTGCAAAAGATCAGTTCATCCTATGGAACTGGACTGTTCCTGTTGCAAAACATCACTCCATTGTCACTATTCATGCGTTTCATACAAATTCCATTGTTTTCTTACTCTTCCTTTCTTGATCTTCACCCCATATTATGCTACCAGACTTTACGTTGACACTCACGTTATATACTACTTATAAGTAGTTCGCACCACAGCACCACACTCAGACCTTGAGTAGCTGCTTTTAGTCTCATCGTTCTCCAATCGACCTGCCTGGCATGGTAGGACCTTCAGGGACATATGTCCCAGCCAATATAGCTCGGTTAGGTCATTACGATTGGCAAGCCCGACCAGTACGCCAAGGTAGCAGGTATAATCGGGAATATATGCTATATACAAGATATTTATCAAGGACTTTATTTGAGAGGTGAGTCAGTAGCACAACAAAATTTATTAGAAACGGATGACTGTATTTTGAAGTTGAGGTAAACTTATTCAATATTGAGCTTGACAGTACTATTACTGTGCTAACGAATGTATTGATACTTTTTACACAAGTGTCACAACTATGTAAACTGATGAACTAATGTAGACCACAACTTGATTGTTATAACACATGATATACAAATTAACATGAATATTATTATTACTATTATTATTATTACTTACCTGTAATTCTTTTTCTTTACGTTCTCTAACACTAGGTACAATTAAATCAGACTGATCTTGTGATGTAAACATCCAATTATTTGTTGTTTCAGTAGTGTTAGAATCAATTTTCGCAAGATCACTCGAATAAATCATGGCATTAGATTTACTTAACTTCTCATTTGAATTAGTAGTATCTGTTTCATTACACACTTCATACATCTCTAGATTTTCATTTATATGAATAATAGAATTATTAGTTTCGTGTGAATTGGATAACTGTATAAATCCTAACTGGATAAACATATATAAACTAGTTCGAATAGTAGAGATTTGACTCTCTAGTTTCTAGAAAAATTTTAAGAAAAAAATGAGAATATGAACAACTGTAAAAATGACTAAACAATTCATAAAATTATAACTTAGCTTATTAACCAAGTGTGTAGGTTTGTAATATTTGTTAGCAGATTGGATAAATTCTTTTCAAAATCGTAATATATTAGTTGGTTCAAAGATTCATCAAGTCAATATTAGTGGACGAATCGAGAAGTTAGAAGATCGTTTTGTAGTCTTCAAAAAATTTAAGGCTTTTACTATTCTATCTGTAATGACTTGAAAAGAAATCGATATGTCAATGCTGTAACTTGAGTTAAATGCTGGTTACTGCTACTGGTACGACTATTTACTGTAATTAAAGAATAACTGTTGCTTCTTACAATGAAATGAGACAGCTATATGGACTAAAAAAAGTTAAGAATGATTTAGACACTAACCACCAATCAAGCTTACAGAATAATAAATTGGCATATAAATGCTCAGACGATTAAAAATTTCGAATGATTTAAACCATCATTTAGATTATTAGAGTTAACAGTGTTCGATTTCAATTATCATTTTGATTTAAAAGAAGACGAGAACAATATCATAGTCAATAAGTACTAGAGAGTGGAAGAATATAACAGTACTTAATTTTGAACCATATTTTATATGTGAGGACTAGTAATATCATCTCAACTGTTAAGTGGAGATACTGAATTTGCAACGGAATGATTACAAATCAAGTACTTTAACTAGACAATAAATGACAGATAAGAATGGGAAATAGAAACTGATGATTTAGTTTGAAGAAGCACCAATTTATTTAACTGAAAAATAGATTTGTTTTACGTCTATGGTTTAATTTTAAACACAAATACGAATAGTTAATAATTTACACCATTTAACCAGCCAAATTCACCTAATTTTAGTTTCACTAACGTTGGCTGGTTGATAACTGACGAAATCTCCACTTGGATAGAAAGGCTTGTTTGTATCCTTTGAACCAATGTTATTTGCACTAACAACGAGTCTGTATACCAAACAGCAGTCTGCTGTTAAGGATAAAATTGTAAGTTGTTGTTAGTATTTCATCAGTAACTTATGTGATTAGTAGCACAAAGAGAACCTAAATATTCATATACCACGCAAATCAATGGATTTGTGTGTGTGGGGCTGGGATACTGACCGTGTGCCCAAACCGAAGCAAGTGATTTTCTCAGAGGGCCAACTCCCAAGCTTGTGACCTGCAGGTTTAATCCACAAGGCACTGGAACAACTGCAGAGCGTGCGGCCTCACGGTAGCTGCTGACCAACCGTTCGTACATACGCCACTTGTTCCCTCAGGATACTGGAGTCCATGTGCACTAGTAGTTTACAATGAGAGTTTTCCAACTAACTTAGGTAGACATCAACCCAGTTTGAGAATCTGCTACACATTCGCTTTTCAACGTCGTAAACAACACTGCTGCAGAAGGTAGTGAATAGGACTTCCCTGACGGTGGCTATACAAACATAGCCACGTGAGATTATTTCGAGAGAGAATGAGTAAACTCTTGCCACTCTAAGCCGTAACATGGCATTCTCTGTGAAGCATTATTTGCATATGATGTGATTATTCAAGCGTACATGTCAAAATTAAATGTAATAGTAGTGCGTGAATATAGCAGTTTCAAGTGCAGCAGCTCCACAGCGAAGCCTATCACGACAAACAAAGTAGAAAGAAAACTAGCCTAGGACTCGATACACATGCCTGATCATATCTGATTCGACCTCCGAAACCTACTTCTGAAGTTAGGGATCCAGTATATCAAATTTCTTTGCCTAGATTTCTTAATCACCTTGCAAGGTTACTACAGATATATGCACAGCCTGTCAAACAAATTATACATCTCACTTGGAATTGTAAAGGTCTAACGATAGGAATGTGTTCGGAATATTTATGAATACTAAACGAACTTTGAAACAAAAACTAGTATCGCATTGTTTTAGAGAAGAATTTTAGTTTCATAAGTGAGAAGAATAGTTACTTACTTGAGCTAAATCTCTTATACACCAGGTAGATTGTTTCGTGAATAAGTGAATAATTGATGCTTGCAAAGGTGTGACGTCAATTTTAACACTACGCTTGCCAAGTGTAAGATCAATATTCACTAGACCTAGTTTATGCATCCAATTAAGTGTTCTGTTGCCTTTCAAACGTTGGAAACATCTAGAATAAAAATGATTTTCCAATGATACATAGAACTTAGAACGTCAGTTAATAAGTTGCGAGGTGGAACTTGGTATGTACGTCCATCAGTTCAAGTTGTGATACCATATTAGCATAGAGAGGTGACATTTTCAGTCAAACTACCAGAGCAGCAGAGGTAGTTACAGTATTAGTGATGTTGGAAAAGACAAGCGATCAAAGATATGATTCAAGAAAATATAAACCAGTGAAATAAATTTTAGAACAAAAAAAAGGAAACATTAAGAGGAATAAAGCTTAGAATTAGAGGAAAGATGAAGAATGGATACATCTGGACCATTGCAATAGATTTTAATCGCGAAGAACTCTATCTTGTAATGAATTTAAGCGTACTGAACAAAAGGTGCTGCGTAACTATACAAAACTTATCAAAATAACAACATCTACTGACGTTTCGAAATCTCCAAACATTAAAGATTTCATTTGAAATATAAGTGACTGAAAAGTTGATCTTATTATTCACTGTCCAGCCAAGAGATTGACACGATGGGAACAACACTTCAGAGATCAGTTCAATTGACATTCAGGCACACATTGGTTGCCCACAATCTCCAGTCAACCTGAATGGGAAACCGATGTCAGTCCTCCGAATCTCTATAAAGTCGAAAAAGCTATAGGAAATCGGAAGCGAGGAAGAGCAGCGAGTCCTGATAGATTGACCCCTGAGATTTTCAAGGATGGTGGTTCCGTTTCGGCAGTCCCACTGACTGATATCTTAGGTAGAATCTGGGGACTGGACACAATCTCATCCGGCTGGTCTCAATCCCTGATTGTGCCAATTTCTAAGAAAGGACAAAAGTCTTCTTGTGACAATCACAGGGGAATCAGTCTAACCAATATGGTTTCTAAATGGTTAGGTTCGATAATACTTAGACGCATAACTAGTGCTCGTGAAGGGCAGTCTAGAGAAAACCAGGCTTATTTCAGACCTGGACGTGGTTCTATAGACCACATATCCATACTACGTCAGGTCCTCGAAAATAGACGCATGTCCAGATGTCCAAAATCGTAGCATTTAACTGTTGAAAGTGCGGTTCTATGACAGTGTGTGTCACTAAAAGTAGTACCAGTGAAGTACATTAAACTAATGCAGGCTCTCTAATCGAACACTACAGGTCGAGTGAGATCTTATGGCGAACTGTCATCGGATTTCTTTACTTCAAGTGGTGTCCGTCAGGGATGTCCACTCCCTCCATTCTTGTTCAATTTGGTCATAGACATGCTCCACCTGGATATAACCTTATCCTCGTCTGAATTTTCGGGAGTAGACCTTCTACCAGGAAAATCGCTTGTTGGCATAGAATATGCCGATAACATAGTTCTACTTGGAGAAGGCGCTGACAGAATGCAGTCTTCTGACCACCCTAAGCAACAATGCGAGTATGTTCGTAAGGCGATTCTCCCTGTCGAAATGCAAAATGTTGCTTCAAGACTGGGTTGCATAGGCACTTGAACTAGTGGTAGGGAGTGATGTAGCAGAACGTGTTGACCGTTCCACTTATCTCGAGAGTATCATCAGTGCCGGTGGCCGGGTGACTGACGAAATCTCAGCACGAATACAGAAACCTCGATTGGCTTTTACCAACCTGCGTCACTTATGGCGTAGGCGAGATATCCGTTTGCTTACTAAAGGACGAGTGCACTGAGCAGTAGTTCGCTTTGTCCTACTTTATGGCTGTGAAACATGGCCAGTCAGAGTAGGAGATATGCCTAGGTTACTACTTTTCGATCATAGGTGTCTGTCTCTGAAGCATTGCTCGTGTATCCTGGGACAACCGAGTAAGCAATGCAGTTGTTAGGAAACGGGTACTAGGTAAGGATGGCAGGTCAATAGATGAAGTCGTGAAACCTCACCAGTTGAGGTGGTTGTGACAAGTGTTGCGTATGCCTAACCACCGACCGCCTCCTTGAGCTGTGTTTTGTGGTGTAAGAATAAGTTGGAAGATAGCTAGGGGTGACCAGACCGAATTATGGCGCCAATTCATGAAGTCACTGACAACTGGATTGAGTCATGTTGGTAGGTGTCGACTACCTGGTTGGGGTCCGCGAGATGATAATAATCGATGGTTAGAGACCTTGAACAACATGGCTCAAAACGGTTTGCAATGGCGCAGGTGTATTCATTCTTTGTGTTCTGTCAAGTCCTAACCTTCCAAATTCCGCACCACCTATCTTTTTCTTTTTAAGTCTATTTCACTAGATTCTACTTCATGAATATCTTAGGTAGAATCTGGGAACTGGACACAATCCCATCCGAGTGGTCTAAATCACTGATTGTCCCAATCTATAAGAAAGGACACAGGTCTTCTTGTGACAATCACAGGGGAATCAGTCTAACTAATACAGTATCTAAAATTTTGGCCTCAATAATACTTCGGCGCTTAACGAAAGCAGACTCGAGAAAACCAATCTGGTTTTCGACCTGGACGTGGTTGTATAGACCACATATCCATACTACGACAGGTCCTGGAACACAGACACACATTTAGGTGTCCTACAATAGTTGTTTTCCTGGACCTAAAAGCGGCATTCGACTCTGTAGATCGCGAGGTTCTGTGGCAGTGTCTATCATTGAAAGGTGTACCAAAGAAGTACGTTAACCTCTACTCGAACACCACTGGTCGAGTGAGAGCTTATGGCGAACTGTCACCGGAATTCCTCACTTCAAGTGGTGTCCGTCAGGGATGTCCACTTTCTCCATTCTTATTCAATTTGGTCATAGACATGCTCCACCTAGATATAACCTTATCCTCGTCTGAATTTTCGGGAGTAGACCTTTTACCAGGTGGCTCGCTTATTGACTTAGAGTATGCCGATGACATAATCCTAGTTGGTGAATATGCTGACAAAATGCAGAGTCTTCTGACCACCCTAAGCAACAATGCAAGCATGTCCGGGATGCGGTTTTCCCCCTCGAAATGCAAATTGTTGATTCAGGACTGGGTTATATCGGCACCTGGACTAATGATAGGAAGTGAATTAAATTAAGTTTTATTAGTTTAAAAACAGTGTGTACAGAATGTTTAAGAATCAATTATACATATACAATAAGAAAGATTTTGAATGTATTCTTTATTTGAGGTAAATGATGTAGCCGTGAGTACAGTTGATTAGTATCAATATTTGTTTGTTAACTGGACTTCAAACTATTTTCACAGGACAATAGACTGTTAAATTTCATAAAAAATCTGCACTTTCATATAAAATCCTTTTATGATTCTAACATAAATTAATGCGCTTAATAATAAGAAACACAATACACGTATCTCAATTAAATTTGTTTATCTAATATATGACTTACTGTTCATAAAGCTCAAAGACTGGACGAAAATCTTCAGGTATTTTAAATTTATCGTCAAGCAATTCTGGCCAATAATGAATGGATAAAATATAAGCAGATAATGGAAAGGCAATGTTATTACCATTACTATTGCTTCTCAAGATATGATTACTATCACTACTAGCAGTAATAATAGGAGTAGTAACACCAATAGCACATTCAACAGATGTTGCTTTATTCTCTAAAGAATCACCTGTTATGTCAGTTTCCTCTGATTCCATAATCTCATTACTATTAGGAGGAAGGATAGGGCTGTTGAATAATTTATCTGTTTGATCTAGATGTTTTTCTTTTGAACTATTTAATGTAGATTCAGATACTAAATTAGCGATTCGTTTCGAATCTCGAATATCTTTTAACATAACCTATATAAAAAAAATTTAACATGGACGAGGTTAACATTTAAAGACCTTTAGACTTGTCTGTTGATAGATTATGAAGCAAATCATATGAAATAGGAGAAAACTGTTGCTTACAGATGTAAGAACTAAAGTAAATGAAACAGGTTCGGATATATGACTTAATAGTAATAAAGACGATTATTTCGTCCAACTAGGATAAAACAGCCCTTTGATTCTATGTTAAACGTGAACGATGGGTGACAACTCATACATTTAAAACGTGTGAAAGTCATATAAATATATAGGCTCTGTAATGATAAGTCTATAATAAGAGTCATGTGTCGTAGTTCCAAATCTGAAAACGATATCAATCGATTATAACAAGCTTGTCAGACATAAGAATAGATAAGCGTAGGTTTCTGTTCCACGTCATAAGCTTAAGTTCTTTTCAGACAGAGAATGATACTATCTAGTGATTAGAATGGAAATGTATGGGCTGTTTGAACCCTCAATTTACAGCGTCATGGAAAAATAATCCTCAACTTACTGATAAACAGTCTTAAAACTTATAGTCGGATGGTTAAAAATTTAACCATTAGTGAAGCTTGGAATCCTTTCTGTCAGTATATATTCGCTTGCTTGATAGTCTTTGGAAGAGTTCGTAAATATGTGGACAGACAAATTAGATATAGGATAAATCACAAGAAATTTGGTCATTATATATATATATATATATATATATATATATATAGGGGAATCATAGATGCAAAATTCGACGATGTAGGCTGAAACAAAAGCATTTACTGATAACAATATGGCAAAATAATGGTGGAAAGAAATTCAAGCTTACGAGCCAAATGACTTACTTCACATTCATGTAAATTCTGTTCACCAAATCGAAGTTTTAGCAGTTCCAAATTTCTCAGTTCTCTAGCTGTATGAAAACTTCTTTGTCGTAGTAAACGTTGACTTAATAATTGTTTGTATTCAACTAAAAATGCTTTCTTACTCCCATAAATACTAACTAGCATGCTTAAAAGATCTAATTTACGACGCCAAGATCCTCGCTGACATAAAGCTTCAATAGGATCTGGTTTCCAATCACTTTCCAAAGTAAAATGTTTATCTGAGTTAGCAGAATGTATATCAGAGTCAAATGGTAGGTCTATTATCAAAAGAAAAGATATATTATCACTATGGAAATAAATACACTTTGTACTTGTTATTTTAATGTGACAGAATAAAATGATGAGTATGATGAAGAAGAAAATCAACTCTGTGTATTTGAGCCTTAACTAACCTTCAATAGGACGAAGATTCTTAACTGGAACTCACACAAGGAATTATGACCAATGATTATTCTAGTTATTATTACTGAGTAAACTAACGATCATAACGAAATGTGGTGACATGACGTACAAGTATGGTTGGTTTAGAGTTCGGAACAATTGGTAAGATGTCATACACATATGTTTTCTATTGGTCAGGAATCATTAGTAAGGTGTACTCGTGAGGTGTGAGTTCTTTCCGAAAAGAAAGACGTTACTACTAAGCCATTTGGGTAGTGGCTGAATTCCTGTGAAAATATATTTACAGTAACAGATCACTGAGTAATAATCAACAATACTTTTCTTAGTCTTAGAGATGATTGAATGTTGCAGCAATCTAATGCACCTAACTTTGATCACTATTTATTGAACTTTGGGAATTGAATGAAGTAATTACCTCTCGTGAGTTATGGTGTATAAAAGAGTCTAATAGATTGCCTCTACGCATTTCAAAGGTGAATTTTGAACTTACTTTGCAGCCGAAGTTAATGGTTTTGATTAGTTTACTTACTACAAAACGTTCGCATATATTACATTGAGGAGATTAGGGCATTCAACTTTTAATCAGATATTATACGTCCGAAATATGTCTAATCTGTTTCACTTTCAGTACTGGTAGGGTGGTGCCAATAACCAATAAACGCAGCTTGGTTTATAACCAAATAAATAAGTTCGACTGAATAAGCTCTTTATCAAACTATTAAAACAGTTAATACCCTATACATGTAGGCTTTCTAGAACATTTGATAGATATATCATCTGCCCTACAAATAATATCTAAGAAGAGAAGTTGGTTTCGTATATCCTATTTACATAGTATGGTTTCGAAATGTATTATTTTGTTTAACAAATGGTTGATCCCTTCGTTAGGTTTGTTTCCAACGACTATGATGTCATCTAGGTATACTGTTTAAAAAGATATATATTTGGTTATTGATTTATATGCTGGACAGATACGATGGAAATGTTAACTCACCTTCATATACAATATCAGCATCACTATCTTCACCATCATCCAATGGTTCAACCTCTAATGGTTTAGGTAATAATAATTCTTGATGAAGTTCCGTAGTTGTATCAGTATATGCTTCAGCTCTAATTTCATCATCTTCACCATCGGTTTCAGGGCCAGATATTAATTTATCAACTATACAACGAACTGCATCCTCTCTTTGTCGAAGACATGTTGAAACTGGTTTACAAACTATATCTTGTACTAGAAATGTGTTATCGATTAAGCGTAAAGCCCGTACTAAGTAATTGTAAGCAGCTAAAATTTGTTCAGTATGGACACCTGGATGTAATAATCGTTGCTGGACCTAAGTGAGTTAGAATTAGTCAGTATATTTTTTAATGTTCATATCAAGACAATATTTTTAAAAATTAACTGACTTCGACTAGGAAAATCCAAGACATACAATTCCTTGTTGAGTGTAAACCAAAAAAACAACCTGAATCAAACGGTTCTGATTTCTGATAAAAATGACTTTGATGATATTGACGCATTATGTTAGTTAAGTGCATAGTACATCAGTAAGATTGAAGGGAGTCTGTATTTGTATTCATAAAATGAAGGATTCACGCATGCAGATAGTTGTGCGAGTGCTAATATTGTTACGGTTGACAAATTAGCTTTTAGATGAAGAAAGCGAGGAACAGTATAGCGTTTTTTTGGCAAGTTAGTTTTTGACGGAATGGGGTCGCCAACCCCATGTCCAACCCTCCTCCTTTACCTGGGCTTGGGACCGGCAGTAGCCCCGAAGGTTCTACTGTATGCTTAAGTATATATCACTAATTTGACTGTCGTAACGTTAGTTTGGTAATAAATACAGGTCACCAAAGTGGAGGACCCGACCTGATTGGAACACGCAGCATTCTGATGCCACAAGCTGACGAAGTAGACCAAAAAGATGGTCACGAAGATCACACGACAGAAATCGATCACGCTCCAGAAGACGCAAACTTCCCACGTTATGCTGGGATCACCAAGCGAATAACAAAAGAACTTGGGAATGCAGATTTAAATTATTGAAACAGAGAAACGGTTCAGTCGACTGTCAATAACGACTGCGATAGATGGCGAAGCTCCAGTCTCAGTCAGATACAACGTAGAACTTCATACGTGCGTACATCAGTTCAAGATGCCATACCACATTGGCACAAAACTGCAAATGTCAATTCAAATCGCATAATGGTAGAGATAGGAGAAATACTAGAGGTAATCAGAGAGATTAAGGTTCGAAGGAATCATTTAATATGATTCAGTAAAATAAATATGGAAAGAGGGAGAGGTGATGAGGAATTCAGGTTATAATTTGAGAGAAGACAATGAATGAATGCAACTGCGCCATTGTAAACGGTTTTGAGACATATCACTCAGGGTCTCTAACGATAGATTATTATCATCTCGCGGACCCCAACCAGGTAGTTGACACCTATATGCATGACTCAAACCAGCTGTCAGTGACTTCACACATTTGAAATCCGCCTGTAGACCCTTCCAGGCTACTGCCGGTCCCAGGCCCGGATAAAGGAGGAGGATTTGGATTGGGATTTGCAACCACGTCCTGCAAAAAAACTAACTCGCTAAAAAATAATTCAAACCATATAAACGCTGCTTTGAGAGTTAGACCTTCATCTAGAAGAGTTATGATGTCATGTGATGAAAGCCAAGATCCTTCAGAAGTCACGAGGCCGATGCCCCTTCTGACAACCAGAGCCGTTCCACAGTGTGGGTAGCCGGAAAGTGAGAACCACCCTCATACCCGTAACAGCATGCGAGACCGAATTGGTCAAAATCAAATAGAGTAGAGAGAGAGCTTGTATAGAGTGCTTTGTGTTCTTTGTGTTCTTTCAAGTCCGAACGAACATATGAACGTAACACCTCAAAATGTATAGTTGACCGAATTACACATTTGATAGACAATTAAAAACACTAAAAATAACAAGCAAGTTCATATTTACGATAAAATAGGGTAAACAAAAGCACTGAATCACTTACTTCTCCGGTTAGGTGAGTAATCAAATCTTGACGTATCGGGAGATGATCTAAACATTTACCCAGATCCATAAGAGCAGCAACGGAGTCTGGGTACTCAATAACTAGTGAAAACATATCAGGTTTATGAACTAAATAGAATGTTTTATATACGATTTCATCTGATAACTCTGAACTGATTGCATGTATGTCATTTTTTCTTGAAAATAACCTAGGTATGAGCACTTTTTTCAGCACACAGTTTTTATAATTTATTATCGAATTAAGAAATCGTTCAGAATAATTTTCAGAACACAATAACTTTGTTCTGTATGAAAGAGCTTTTTTAATAAAAGGTGCACATAAATGTCGATATAAATTATTCCAACTGACCAGGGAATTATTTTGTGTTAAATTCCGGGCTGACAACAAAATCTGAATTTTCCTATCCGTAATGTTTGGACAGATAACAGAAGAGAATATATTCGAATCTTCAGCATCCATTTCAGCCGATTCAAGTTCCAAACATAAATAGCTATACCATACTGGTTGTAATAAATTTTCACATTTCAAAGAACTCAACACGGATGTAACAAGGCATTGTATATCATTGATTATTTTATCATTTATAACTGATTCTAAACTTGAATTAAGGACAGATTCAAGATAGACATTTAACTCTTCATTCAAATTATCAATTAATTTTATGAACAAACACAGTAACCTGAGTAGATCATTATCATCATCAAGAGTATTGTAGAAGTTGACAGTACAGATATTCACCAAATAATTACATTCTTCAACAAGCGTAGCAAGTTGTGATGTTAAGCTTGAAGTTTGCAAGAAATATATCACTTGTTCTAAAAACATTTCTTTACAAAAACAAGAATCTATCGAATCACAGCCGAAAACCCCACGTAGATTACTGTGTAGCAAATCACTCATAGTAGTTTATTGACAATATCCTAGACATTTATTGAGATCTGAAAAGGCAGAGCTATAGATTATTAAACACTACTGAAATGTACTCTTAGAAATAAAAAAAAACAAATTTGGAAAGTGTAATGAAGCAGGAAAGCTTTTGATGATATTTAAGTAGATACTATCCTTAGTCATCTATTTCCAACAATTCAGACCTTAGCCTCCAAGTCTAAAGTCTATTGTACTACTAGTAGTCTTCAAACGTTTATGGAAAACTAATTCAACAGTCTAAGGTCGAAGGTTTAATCTTAATGCTGTTTTATAAAATAGACAATAGTGGATTATAATTACTAGCATAATCTTATCCACATACTTATACAAGACAAAATAATCATAAACTTAGTAATCCCGCTAAAATGAGCAATTACCTTAGAGAAGGTATTAAAGTATTTGACGTTTGCTCAGGCTACACACGATAAAAAAAAACTAAGCATCATACTTTCAAAGCAGAGGAGAATGCATTATTTTTATGGAGTTGTCTTTCAATAAACATTTAGCTACAAGAACCCAGTATCTACCAACCATTTATTTGATTCACTTGACTCATTTAGTACATATCAAAACACTACTTGTACCTGTATAAAAGTTCAGACAGTTACAAATTCATAAAGGTGAATGAGTTAAATGGTTAAACTTTAAATATTTGAAGCTCTATCCTAAAACACTATGTGGGTGGGAAAAAACCATTTCATTTAGTGTCTTTGCTTATTAGTTCACAATATTAAGGGATTATATTTTATTAGTTGCTACTGTTACATCCTTTTATCAGCGATACGACCATCCGTATAGATGGGGTGGAGGCAAATCTTAGTTAGTAGGAAACGGTTATGAAAAAGTAATGCCGGTTCAATCGATAAACACCTTTGCTATGGAGGATGGACCTAAATACATGAATTACCATCACGGCTGTTTTTACGAAGTTGAATGAGCAACGCTCCACTGGATCGACCTATAAGTTGTGTGCTGGAACCTCACGAGGAGCAGCGTGTAGAGTTATACGGAAGAGGATTGAACAAGAAAAAAGATCCAATGCCTTTACAAGGGGCTAGTATTAACCAAGTGATCTCTTTGTGCTCGATAAGCCGACCACTCAGCACATAAAATCGACTTACATTTAATACAAAAGCAATTGACAGCAATCAGAAATAGGATAAGCATGAGACCAGGACAAACTGATAGTCAAGACTAGAAGTTACTGAAGCACTGTTTCGAATGTGTTGTCGACCCAGTCCCACACTAAACCAGATTTGCGATTGAACGACCTCGAGTGGCCTAATAACCAGTGGACTGATTCCAATATCCAATATCACTTTTACGAGCTAGTATAAATCAATTCATCTCTTTGCGCCCGATTCTTGTTCTTTCGGTATGGTACCAGGTGTTCGGTAATGTCCAATAAACGGAGGTCTAGCCACTCGACTGTCTAATTCTAGTCAGCTGGCAGTTGGTGGTAAGTTTGTATGTCTCGGGATTTGAATGAAAACGTTTGTTTCAGGGCAGTAGTGTTTCTGGATACCAACAGCTATCACATTACCAGACCGGAGATCCGTTAGTTGCAATGTGGAGAGTAATAAGGATAAAATTCTAATAGTAATATGAATGAAATTTCAGAACTAGGTAATATATAGACGATTTAGTTTATTACTTGGTAGTGAAGATTGTGAGAGAGGACCGAAGTGTAAGCAAGGGAGAGGAAACAGAGATTATAGGCGAGATAGACTAAGTGAGTGATCTGAGAAGATGGAAATGATAACAACTAGCAGGTCTCAAGATATGCATCACGAACAGCTTGTCCGAGAGTACGTGATTATCAAGCGTCTTCTTAAAGCTGTCTACTAAGGGGCTATGGACACCTGGGCTGGGACAGCATTCCAAGTTGCGATGACTCGCAATGAGAAAAAGTGTGCACAAATCTGAGTATTCGCTCTCTGATGTGCAATCTTTCAAGGATTGCCTCGAGGGGATTGGTGGCGATGCATCGGTAAGATGCTCACATTGAGATGGTTTGGCATGTTTAATATGGTGTACGCCATAATCAGATCGCCTGTGGTTCTCCTGTAGCTCAATGGAAATAATCCCGAGTGCTGGAGTCTATCGTCATACGGTTTATTTTTCAACCCTATCACCCATTTGGGTGCTCGTCTCTGCACTCGATCCAAGAGATTTATGTCTCTTTTGAGCAGAGGGGGTGCGATGATGTCGTGAACCTCCAGATATGGGCGCGCATACGTCTTAAATAGTGTTAAGAATAATTGTGGGGTAATAGCACCAAATTGCCTTCGCATAAAGTCAAGAATCGCATTTGCCTTGGCTGCGTCCTCTACATCGTTTGCACTGGTGTGGAGGCTTTCTATGGTTATTAAACCGAGATCGCGCTCTGAGGAGACATTAGGGAACGGACTTCCATTGAGGGTATAGATCGTTTGCGTCATATAAGGCAGGAGATGCATGACGTGGCACTTCGGTTGGTTGGGTTTTAAACCGTTTTCCACTGCCCATTTCTCAATAGATGTAAGGTCCTTTGGAAGCTCAGCCGAATCCTCTTCTCTTCTAATGGACCTACAGATCTTCTCATAGTCTTTCTATTCTCTAGGTAGTCTCTCAGCCAAGACTGAAGATTGGAGAGAGAGTGGCTTGTTTCCATTCAGCTGGGAATTGGTGTGACTCTAGTGAATGCCTGAACAGGTCACATATTGGTGAAGAGAGGACTTCTGCACACTGTTGCAAGACTATGGGGCGAATTTTGTCACAGCCTGGTGACTTACGTGGGCGTAAGCATTTTAGTTTTCTTAGTACTAAGTCAGGAGTGATACGGATGTTCCCCAAGCCGTCAGCTGACAATGGGTTGGTGAAGTACTCTGAACATGTGGGTGCCTGGTTTAACTGCTCAGAAAAGTTAGTGTTGAGGATCTCACCCATCTCTAGATCGGTGAGGTCTTCCCCGTTTCGTCCTTTGAGATAACACAACCCTTGACTAGTAGGTTTTCTTTTGGACATGTACCTAAACAGATGCTTCTGGTTTGCCTGTATTTTGACAGCAAGCTTCATCTGAAATTGTCTCCTATTGCTTCGAACTTTGGTATTGCATCTGTCTCTCAGTGCCGAGTAAGAACTACGATCGGAACCCTCCAAGGAGACCTTCCACTTGTGCCAGGCTCTCCTCTTCGCCTTTAGCAAGCGCTCATTACCGCGCCTAACCTAGGTTCTTCTATTCCCAGGTGTGTGGTCTGACTGAGGTACATTGTCTACGACAGCGTTTTGGGTGATATCTCTCACTGTTTTCCAGTGATCATCTACTGCCGGCCTCCACCACTCCCGTGGACATGGGACAGGTAGGAAGATCTCTCTCATAGTTTGCCCTAGTGTAGCAAAGATAGGGCTCGTTATCGTCCTGTGTGAGTGTTTCGTTCATGACCATGTTAAACAAGACTGTGCCATGGTCACTACTACCTGTTGGTGTGTGCACGTGAACATTCTCAACCAGGAGCAGGTAATTTGTTAACAGCTAATCCAGGTTTGAGGAATTTCCCTTTTTTATCCATCTTGTGACACTGCATACGTGTTCAGTCAGCCGTGAGCTTCTAACGGCTGTACCAAGTTGTCTTTGGAACCAACCAGTGAGACTTATACTGTGATTACTGAGATTTAGAGATGGGGTATTGAAATCTCCAGCTAACAGTATTTGATCAAACCGCAGGAGTGGAAGTTGAAGTATTACCTCAAAAAGTTTGCCTTTCTGGGCCTTAGTACCCGAGAGATGTTGGTAAATCCTTTCAATCAAGTATTTCGTTCCATTCGTGTAGAAACAACACCAACATGATTCTGTCACCTCAGTTAGTTGGGTGTCGTATGGCCCCTCGGCTTTTATGTAGTTGTTCACATATATAGCCACTCCGCCTCCAGTTTGGTGTACCCTATCGCTTCGGAAGAGTGTCGTGCCTGGCAAGCTCACTTCGTCGTCTGCAATGTTAGTGGATAGCCATGTTTCAGTTAGGATTATGATCTTCAGATACATATGAGAGCACGTATTCCTGATTTCTAACAGCTTACCCATTATTCTTCTTACGTTGATATATGGGCACTTGGTTGTGTCTCGGCACCTAGTGCATTTCTGCAGCAACAGCCGTTGTCGGATTTTCTAACAAGTTATTCAAACCGAGTTGGTCAGTTCTTTGGGAACTGGCTTCTGCAGGTGTTTTGCCTGTGCAGTCAGTTCAATCGTTTCTTGTGCCAGTGGTTGTTGACCAAGGTTAACTGTCAGTTTTGTGCGTTCATTGTGACCTCCCTGCTGTTGTCTCACAAATCTAGGTCGGCTTTCGCAATACCTGATGTGACTAGACATATCGTTCGTAGAACTGTACCAAGCTTGGAGTGCCTCAGTCAGGTCTCCCCGGTTCCTAAATGTCACGGCCGTCAGACATAGTGACCTGATGAACGTAAGGTGTGACAGGCGGGGCAACCGAAAAACGCAAACAGCCATCGTGGTGTGAAGGGGTAGGCTACGCGATAGCCATCGCCACTGTTGCACATCGCGCTCGTGAGCTTCGTCCAGGTTATCATCTGCGAGTTCGGGTACACCCTGAACTACCATGGTGGCCTGCTCTTGGGTGCCTGGCGTAGTCCTGGCTGCCGCTCGTACCGACCACGGCAGTACCTAATATCTTTTATACGAGCTAGTTTAAACCAGTTGATTTCTTTGATCTCGATTCTCGTTCTTTCGGTACGGTTCCAGGTTTCTGATGTTTCGAAACCTCCATGATTTGCTACGTGCGTGCTGGCTGGGATTGTGAATACAAAGATTGACCAACGATCCTAAGATTAATGTTCTGAGTAACGCAAGACTATATTCAAAGTTCGGTCGTTTGGTCAGCTTTGAACTGGGGTGGTTCTTTCCTAATGTCATGTCTACCCTCAGTACTAAAGCAAATAGGGTTACTTCCCAATGATCGCCCGTTCGTTTTCGCTTATGCAGCACTATTAGTTGTGCTTCCCATTCATGGAGTACGCCACTTAACCAAACTGTTTAGTTCGGGATATTAAAATGAGTAGAAGGTTTATAAGCTTATCAGAATTCCAAACAGCGTTAGATGAATTCCCTCAAGTTTGGCTCCCCACTCACAACATATATGTGAGAATTTTCGCGTTAGGTGAGACTAGATTAAAGTTTACTATTGTTTTTCATAAGTGCACATACGGTCGAAAACGTGAACTGAAAGGTGTAAGATCATATAACAAATCATGTAAAGTGACGTTTCAACTCGCGGTTGAATTTATATGGATGGAATGCCAGACCATCGCTAAAAAGCAGAACAGAAAAACTCATATTTTATATCAGACTCTATAAATAGTTCACTTTTTAAATTCGATATCTGTCGTTTATTTGTAATAATTCTGGATTAATTCTAAATGCTAGGTTTAATACGCTGCCTTCACAGTCCAAGCTAATTATGCCTACGCCATTCAGTTTTCTGCATTGTTGGCCATGCTGCATTTTAGGCCACCATCCAATAGGTTGGACGTTAAGTCTGGAATTATATTCATTAGCATCACATTAGTGCAAAACTGCGATTGTCAATTCAAATCCCGTAGTAGTAGAGATAGTAGAATTATTGGCAGTAATTGGAGAGATTAGGATTCGAAGATATTATTCAAGAAGTAGAATCTAGTGAAATAAACTTAAAAAGAAAAAAGGATAGAGGTGGTTTGGAATTTAAAAGATTGAGACTTGAGAGAACACATATTAGGCTCGCCAAACAATCCCAACATGAGTATCTTACCGATGCATCGCCACCAATCCCCTCGAGGCAATCCTTGAAAGATTGCACATCAAAGAGCGAATACTCAGATTTGTGCACACTTTTTCTCATTGCGAGTCATCGCAACTTGGAATGCTGTCCCAGCCCAGGTGTCCATAGCCCCTTAGTAGACAGCTTTAAGAAGACGCTTGATAATCACGTACTCTCGGACAAGCTGTTCGTGATGCATATCTTGAGACCTGCTAGTTGTTATCATTTCCATCTTCTCAGATCACTCACTTAGTCTATCTCGCCTATAATCTCTGTTTCCTCTCCCTTGCTTACACTTCGGTCCTCTCTCACAATCTTCACTACCAAATAATAAACTAAATCGTCTATATATTACCTAGTTCTGAAATTTCATTCATATTACTATTAGAATTTTATCCTTATTACTCTCCACATTGCAACTAACGGATCTCCGGTCTGGTAATGTGATAGCTGTTGGTATCCAGAAACACTACTGCCTTGAAACAAA